AGAAGTGTGCTTCTGGTGATTACCGCCTGGTAAGTCTAACTTGAATCCCTAGTAAAATAATGGAAAAAATATTAAAAGAAAAAAAAATTCCGTAAACATTTAGAGTTTAATGAGCTCATGAAGAATAAGTATGGAGACTGTTTTATTTATTTTAAAACATGCTTTAAAATGTTTATTTTTAGGACAAAATTACAAAAAGGGGGGAATAAAGCAAATAAATACATTTAATGTCTTTGGGTTTTACAAAAACATTTATACAAATTTCATAAAATTTTTATTCTAAATTATATTTCTAATTGGGGCTTAGTGTCATAACATAATGAATAAAACACATCAACAAAAATTGAAAAGAGTTAAAAGATGTAATGTAGGATAAACAGCAGTGAATCACATTAGGAAGTGATTTTCAGAATGGGTATTGATTGAGCATTACTTAGAATCTTCACTGATGTCTGGGAGGATGGATAAGTAAAAAGATAATAAAGTAATCAATTTGCATTTGTAGATGACAGGAAATGTGAAAAGAATGGCTACAGATAAGAATATCGAAATAACTCCCAATACTGGCCATCAAATGGGTAAAAGGAAAATCAACAGGACTCAGAAGTGTGAAGGGGACTATGTGTCCAAGGTAAACTATGTGTCCAGAACTATCCCAAATATTTACCTATGCTTTATCGTTTCTGTCCCACCATACCTCCATGTACGTATTATTATCTTCATTTGACAGACGTGGGTAGTGAGCCTCAGAGACGTAAGGGAATTTGCCCAAAGTCTAACAGCTAGTTAGTTACTGGCAGAGCAAATCTGAACCTGGGGCTATCTGACTCTAAAGTCCATGTGCTTTCCACAAAACCATGCCATCTGCCTTGGAACCCCAAAAAATGATTTCTGGATGAGTAGGAAATCTGAACTGCAGGCATTCAAGGGGAGGAAGAAATGTAGAAAGAGACAATGGATTAAGAAGGAATAGTCAAACAACAGGCAAAAAACTGGACTGCATGATCTGACAGCAACAGAAAAAGAAAACATGACAAAGTGTCCATGGCCAGAGCAGAGAACTTGTTTTCGTTTTTAACTCAGCTCTGACAAAACCACCATGGAGTTGAGAACGCTTCATTAACAGAAAGATGGTGACAGAGTAGAACACTGTGAAGAACAAGAAGAGTCAAAGAATTCTACACGTATAAAGTTGACTAAATAAAGCAAAAAAGGCTTTATGTCACATGAGCAGTGTTCTAATACACAACCATGAGGGAGAGGCCTTGCTCCACCACAGGCTATTGCAACCCATGGCCATTCAAGCAACGGAGCTAGACAGATGTAAGAGAAGGGAAATTAAGATTAGAATTACAGGGGTGCCTGGGTGGCTCAGATGATTGAGCATCTGCCTTCGGCTCAGGTCATGATCCCAGGGTCCTGGAATCGAGCCCCGCATCGGGCTCCCTGCTCCGTGGGGGGCCTGCTTCTCCCTCTCCCTCTGCTTCTCCCCCTGCTCATGTTCTCTCTCTCTGTATCTCTGTGTCTCGAATGAATAAATAAATCTTAAAAAAAAAAAAAAAGATTAGAATTACATATCAAAGACACTTCTTTGGAATTCAGAAGACCATGAATTAAGCATTTTTAAAGTTCTCCTGAAGTAAGAGTAGATAGCCCTAAAAGGTATGCAGAATGTAAGCTCTTTGAAGTCAACAGCTTTGGTGCTTTTTTTGTGGTTGTTTTTTGGTTAGTTTTGTTTTCTGTTTATTTGCCACAGAGAGCAGCTAGCATACCTAGGTACCTGCTAAACTTATAAAACACTAAACATTACAGAGTTTCAAATTCTACCAACTAAACACCAAGACTTGTATTATGGAATCGCATTAACCAGTTACCAAACACTAGACAACCAGTAAACCTTTTTTTCATTTCTTGGACTCATATAAACCATGTAAAGTACCTTGTCAAAAACAGCTGTGAGAGTTACAATTAAAGCTCCCAAGCCGTCCAGCAACTGGATCAGGAGAGTACCAAGGCCAAAATAAATATCCTGGAGCTTCTTGCCGAAGAACTACCAGTTGCAGGGGCACACTTAGGTCTCAAACATCTACAGCATCATTTCAAAGCCTCAACTAGCAGAAGCAGCATCCTCACTGCTACCCAATCACTTCAACAAGATGTTCAAAACAAAACAAAGATCTTCACAGAAGAAAATGACAGTTAATCTCAAATACGGCTAACAAGGACAGTTATTTTTAAAGGCAGCATCTCAGACACTTATTATGCCAGAGGTTCTAACTCATAAAACTGCAAATCACTACATATAAGAAATATGTACAATCAAATGCAGCCCAATACCCAATGTGAAAATGTTTCCAATATGAAGCCACTGACAAGAGTACCTTTCATAAGACATCTGAAGAAAAGGAAGGGTGTCTGTGAACTATATTTCCTTCCTGGAATATTCTGGTCAAAGCGATAGATATGTCTCTAAATCCTGTTCGTCATTTAAATCCAACCGCCTCCTTTGCAGCACAATCACTATCAGGAAAAGAGGACTCATAAATTCCTGCAGCCTCTACTCTTGCATTCTGTATCTGGAAAGACCTCTGTGCATTCATTTTCACTTACTCTATGTTATTAAAGTTCAAAAAGCAGGTGCATCAAACACGGGCTGTGAGAGAGCAAAGCTTTCCATTTGGGGACTGGAAATAAGAATCTGAATGAAGTCTCCAAATGATCCAGAACTTACCAGTTTGGCATCTGAGGACTGACACTGTGCAGACACTGGACGCTACAAAAGACAGAAAAATGGAATAAAGCCTTATCTTCTCCTACCATACCGAGGTTTTCCAACTCCTACGTCTATGATTTCACAAAGGAGAAGATGATCTCCAAGCAGAAAACAAAAGCAAGAACTCTACACTTCGTGCTTGTAAGACCAGAGCATTTATTATGTTTCGTACCACTTTCTCCTACGGTGTATCTACCCAGTTTCGTCTTCTCAGCAGGAGCGCACAATCCTACTGTCGCATCCTGAAGTCAACTACTCCACCTGATAAATTTGTTCCAGAGCACACAGAACTAATCTACAGTTTCTTTACCCTTTAAATAAAAGTGTCCTGTAGGCTGCTTATGGATGAAGTCATGCCATGACCTACCAGTCAGCAAAACAAATGGCAGATGGATTCTCTACAATTTGCAAAGAGTGGCCAATAAAGGCTGAGAGGCAGGCTAAGAGAAGGGGTCAATTCATCCAAGAATGACATACATCTAACCCCTAGAGTAAAACTTGGCAGAAACTCTGTGAAAGCTGCACAGAAACATTCACAATCCTTTACACACAATCCTGTGGCTCCTGCCACAGATACTGCAGGAAACTCTCTGCAAAGGAATGTGATGGCCTAAATTCAGTTTTGTTAGTACACCTAGGGTAATCCTCTGCTTTTTCTTATTAAAAATAAGAGAACCTTTTGATCTGTGATGATGTACTGATCAAGAACAACCTCGCTGCCTGGTTTTCCTTCTAATCCAAGATAACAATACCCCTTTAAAATCCAGTACACCCTGTCCCACATCACAACTCTAATACTAACAGGGGACAATCCTAGAGCAGGTGGTCACAGACTGCATCTAGCTCAAAGACATGTTATGTTTCGTCTGCAAAGTATTTTTTCTTTAATTGGACCAGCTGGCAGTATTTTAAAATAAGACTTCTTATTTCTCTTGACAGTATGAAGGTCTGACAACACATGGCCCACACTCACGTATGGCAATGATCAGTTAGAGCACATCAGCAAAACAGCTGCCCCTTTTTGATATGGGGCACAGGCTCCAGTCTAGCAGAGCCATGTCCCTCTCAGCTGTGTTGTACCTGGCCCTCTCACTCATTCCCATTGTCTGCCTGCAGCCCCTCTAGGCATTTGAGTTTGCAGGCCCTGACCAGTGAGAAGTAGAACTGCGTGAGGAAGAGTGATGAGTGTGGCAGAGAGAAATAGCACTACTCCAAATGAGACCAGCAAGCTGAAGGGAAAAGAGAAGAACGAGCGGTGGCAGGAGAAGGGAGAAGTGGAGGAGGAACGGATGGAGGGCAGAAGAAAGGGAAAGGGGAGGCAGGGGGAAGAAGGGGCTATTTCTGCCTTCAAAGAGCTTACAGTCTAGCAGAGGAACACTGGACAATTTCAAAGCAACAAATCGATGAATGCCAAAACCATGCACCAGAGAACAAGTAAGTCCTATTGAAATAAAAAATAAAGGTCATGATAGAATGGGATGGATTTAATAGGAAACGATCTCTAGACTCTGAGCAGGCAAGGTCATCACTCCAGATGGGAAGAGAGGAGGAAGGTGGACCTTTTAGATAAGAAGAAATGTTAAAGGCAACGAACACACATGGAAACTAGCCAGGTCTAGACAGGCAGGGATGGATTAGATGATGGAATGAGCAGGCAGAACGATGAGCTGATTGGTTTAACTGGAACACAAATGCAGAGGACACAAAGACCGGAGCAATGCTTGATCAAGTGATGCTTCAGACACGCACAGGATTCTGTAGGCATTTATCTCATTGAACCTCAATTAACACCTCATGATCACTGAGTACTTGTAGAGAAGGTAATATTTCAATCGAGCATCTTCTTTACAAAGCTAGCCTGAAGATCAAAACAATGTAGCAGAATAATGACTAGGAATTTGTAGGCTCCCTCTCTGTGCCTTGTTTATGAGCATATCAATTTGAGGAAAAAAGCAGGTGATTCTTAAAGAGAAAAAAAGGACACAGATAACGAAAAAAGAAGGCAAAAGAAAAGAAAAACAAAAAGCAGACAGTAAGTTAGTTTGAAAGCATCGAAAGCATATGCTATTAGCCATAGCTGAATATAACTTCCTCCCATCTGGAATGATCCCCAAATAATTTCCTGTTCTAAGTGATGTCATATCCACTGTGCTTCAGCTCACTCATTTACATCAGCTACCACTTTCCAATAAGCCTTGCTGGGCTCCCTGCTGCTGAATTTGCTTACCTGAGGTTTCTGGAAAGGGTTTCGCCTGGAAGACTCAAAGGTGGGATAAATTGGCCGGGTTGATGCCCTCTGGGCAGGATCCTGGCACACAAATCCTGAATGGGGAACGGCAAACATTAAAACCTGCCATTTTCTAAGAAATTAGCAGGTTTAGCTGTACCTTTTCTTTAGGTATACAAACTCAGTTTCATGGTCACAAATATTACAGAGATCCAACCTCAGGAGGATTAGGCATGGCTCTCAGACACACACTCCACTTGAACTTCAAACCATCAAAACTGGACAGCACAAGAATGGAAAATATGCAGATAAATCAACATTCCTTGTTGGGGAGCTGATTCTGATTGAAAAAGAGATGTGGATTTTTGATGAACTTCAGAGTAAAAGTGCAAACCACCATTTAAAAATACATAGTTGTTTATAAAAACAAATTATTTTAAAGTGGCCTCCTAGAGGGTGACTGGAAAATAATGTTGTTTTTACTGGGAGAACCCAAAAGCAGGTGAGGGGTCCTGTCCTGTTACAAGGTCTACTTCTAGAACAGCTGAAGGCGGTGTCCTGGCACCTTTCAACGTGGGCTTCTTAGATTATCTATGGCTTAAGAAATTAGGTGTGTGCTCATTTCACTTCCTAAAAAGCAGACTCCCATCCAGGGAGACTAGAGTGGCTAAGTTTTACAGCATCTGCTGGTACACCAAGTACTATTTCATTTCGAATATATTTTGTCATGCCTTTTTAGAGTACTTAGGAAATGACAACAAACCCACAATATACCCACCTGACTGCCCATCTCCTTTTCAAAGTTTTCGCTTATCTACTCAGAAAGGGATTTCTTCCTCGGGCCGCCTTTAGCTATAACTATTACAGGAGGGGCCATGTTGACACCAGCGGAGACCGTCTAGTGGAAATATAGCCAGTCTCCTTTGTAACAAAGCTGCTTCAGTCAGGCGCACTCTCTCAACTCAGAGAAAAATAGACTTTCTCCAGACCTTTGCTTAATTCTCTTCCTCGGCTCATAATTCCTGTGCCCCAGGAATTAGGTCTCAGCCCTAGTTGTGGTTCAGCCTCAGGACAGGATGGAGCCAGGGGGAGCAGAAACATCTAAACACTTGCCTGAAAATATAATTTTTCAGTACAAAACATTCAGCATGGCTTAGGAACTGCCAGTTGGCAACACCTAGAGAGCCTGACAAAATGGATGCTCTGGTTAACTTTTATGTGAGTCTTCAGAAAACACTACTACTCACCTACAACAGTGAACATATCTGAAATCATACTGGCTTTAATCTTTAGGTCCAGAGGTGCATCACTAATAGAAGAGAGAAAGAAAGGCCAATCGATAATGTTATAGATTAACAGAACAGCTACCCCTAATGGGCCTCAATATAGGAGAGCTTCCATACGTCGATGAGAAGCAACACATAAAGCACATCAAACCCATGGAAAAAGAAAAAGAAATCTGGGCAAAAATACTAGAAATAAAAGCCCACTGTTAAACTCATCCTCTGTAGGGCAGGTCCAGCACCAAAGTTGATTCCCTGACATGCAATCTTTTTACTCCAAAAGGTCTTGTGCAGTTCAAACTGTGTACAAGTCACATACTGCTTCATTATCACTGCGGATTTTAGAGGTTTAGACTTTTAATATGCTCCTTTATGAGTGTGTCCATCATTCAAATTATTTTTTACTGCTATAACAGTCAAATCACATTCACACGCAAGAGAAGGAACTCTGGTCATCTTTGTACTTTTTTTAAGGCTTCATTTTCTGTTCTAAATCAGTCTTCTTAAGCTTTTAGGCTTGCAAAATGAGGGCAAAAAAATACAAGTTATACCAAACTATCACCAGATGATGCAGCAGGAACCCACATGGAAACAGAAACATGAACTGAAAGCTGGAAGCCTCCCTGTGGCAGTGACTGCCATGTTGGCCTTGGTGTTGAGGTGTTCCTCCATGAACCAGATTACTTTGGCTACTGGACCAATGCATCATTCTGGGGATCTCTAACATCCTATGATGCACCTGGCTGGGCAATCTGCAAAGAGCTTACTTAACAAAAGAGTGGCCCAACATCTGAAGCATCTCTGTGATATCTAGCTCTATACCTTACTATTGGGGTTAAGCCAAACTCCCACCCCATGAAGTAGTCAATCTGTCTTTATTTGATTACTTGGCATTTTGCCAACGTTTTTCATCCTTAAAAATGCAGCTGCTGGGTGGTCTCTAGCATAAATCTCTAGGGTTCTCTAGCTGTTTAGAGAAGTGTATGGCTAATAGAAATTCTGGCTACAGCTGCAGATATAAGCACAATCCTCTCTGGTATTGAAAAATATGTTTCTTTCCTTCTTCTAAACGATAGGTTAAAAAAAATTTTAAGATTGTTTGAAGTTTTTAGACTCTAATCTTAGATGGAGACCAGAATATAGAAAGGGTAAAAGGACCAAATATTATATATACTACCCTAGGCCCAGCTCTATACCTTTACAGTATATGTGGATTTGAGCCTGTATAAACCTTTAGTAATAAAGGAAATATAATACCTCATGTATTTCTTTAGCCTTAGCAGAACACCTACAAAGTTAAAAAGAAAAAGAGAGAGAGAACTAGAAATAAAAATGAACACAAGAAGCATCCCTCAGAAGCTTAAGAAGATAGTTATAGATCACAAATTGCCTAGTAAGATAGGAATGCGTGGTTACCATCTGGAGGTTAACCACATGTCACAAATCCCTCAAATTTAGAAATTCTAGTCATTTCTATCTAATATAACTAGGGTAAAAAAATCTAGTGCCAAGAGAAATGACTTTAAAAAAAAGTGTTTTAGTGCTACTCATCGAAGGTTTGTCCTTTTCTAGTTGATGAACAGACTACTTACCAGGCCAAAGAAGGGGAGAGATTTACTTCCAACAACCATGGCTTCAGAGTAGAATCTATGAGCACATCAAAGCCATAGAGTTCTAGAAATACAACATAACACAATACACAAGATCATTTTCTATGTTACAAGTGAACAAAAATCTGGAAGACTGAATCCAATCAACTCCCACCAGAGGCTTAGAAATTTGGTGAGTATAAGTAATGAGTGGAAGTAGAAGCAGAGAATCTTTCAAGTTCAAGAGAAATTAATCAAGCTCTAGAGATAATGAGATAACAATGTTTATTTATAAAATTCCACTGTTTTTATCATCCACTCTATTGACATTCCTGAGTTCTACACAGAAAGTGACCTGACCTCTAAAAGTTAGCAAGCATGATTCTTCTGTGCATATGGATTAAAAAAAAAAAAAAAAATGTTGGGAATGGGACTACAACAAGTGCATCCAACATCAAAGCTGCTTTGGGTTTGTTCTGGATTGTCCCACCATATTCTGAAAACAGAAAAATCTCCTGAAGGAATCTCCCTGGGGCCCTTCCATTGCATTTTCCTAAACCAAGATCTTGCTTTTGCAGCCTAGGTCAAGAAGATATCTAAGTGTAAAATATATGTATTCTTCCCCTCTCCTATGGTTTCAATTTCCCTTTGAAGACAGAAAATAAAGTACAATGGCCCAACATAGAAAGACAGAAGAGAAAGGAGGGAGCCTGTGGCAGACACAGCAGGACTGTGACAAGCCATCCTGCACCACTAGTATCATTGAAAAGGGGAAGGAGCCAGAGACCAAATTTCTATGGTTTCTGGATTCTTTACGGATTCTCTTCCCTAACTCTTCAACTGTTGCAAAGAGCAAACCAAGAACATGAGCAGTCTTCTGTCCCAGGATGCAAGGATAATATGACACTAACTTTGGAACCTCAGCTGGCAACCTTTACTCTTATCATTAATGAGACCCTCTCCACAGTCCTCTTTGGTATTCATAAATCAAATATATCTGACTTTCAGAAGTCCCACTCATTCTCAAATTTCCTACTCCGTGTCCCTCAAATAAACCATCTACATCTTCTTTCCAAGAGAAAAGACGAGCTTCCTTACAGTTCAACCAGAGGTCACAGGCCACAGCTCACACCTACAAAACACAACGAGGTATCTTCCAGAAACTCATTTTCAAATAGATGTCTTTACTTCAAGAAGGATTCTCCCATTTCTCAATCCTCTCAAAAACACAGAAAAGTAAATGTAAGTTTCTAGAAAGATGGTGCCAAAGACTGTCTTTTGAACAGGAAGTCTGATATAGGACCAAGAATCCTAGAAGGGGAATCTAGAGACCTGGATTCTTCTCATGACTCTACCCTTTATTCACTGTGGAACTTGGGGAAATCATTTCTCTCTCTGATATTTCTTTAGCATCCTTTCATTTCCTTTATCTTCTCTATTAATCACCATCTGTCAATACCTATATACTCAGTAACTTTGCTATGTCCAAAATTCCTATTTATGCAACACTGATTAGACAATCATATTCAAGTTTTTCTCTCAGGAAAAGTTGTCATGAATGAATCTGCTTCCATAGTACTTCTTTAGGATTCCATTTAATTTGCAAAAATTAATCACAAACCAAAAGAGAGTCTGAGAAGGGATTTACCATCATGTAACTACACAAAAATCAATTATCTGTACTTTAAAATGTAAATAAAAGAAAGCTCCTTCACCTATCTCTTTTAGGTAACAAATTCATAACTTTTATGGCCAGTACATTCTTCTGAATATTTTACCTAATCTTCAATCATCCCACAGAATATTCCCCTTTTAATCTGAAAAAAAAAAAAAATCTTTTGTGATATAGCACTAAAAAAGACATTTAAAAAGAAAAGCTTAATTGCAAAATCTACAAGTCCACGTTAACATTACACAAGCAAGAGCACAGGATTCCACTGTTTCATAAAATGGTAATATTATTAATAATAATAGTATGAGGAACAGGGTAAGAATAATGCTTGATGGACATGGTGACCAAATTTGCAGCATCAACCACAAATGAAGACAAACTAAAATCAGAATGACAACCAATGAGTCCCATTATTTAAACACCTTGCATTAAACAGCCAACACATTTACTTGACTATTTCCCAAATTTAGAGGCAAATTCCAAGAATCTCAGTTGAAAGGCTGAGAACTAACATTCTGGGAAGAAAAAAAAAATAAGCCAAAGAGAGAAAACACCCTTTGCAGTGCCAACTAAATTTTTACCCAGGTGAATAAAACCCGTCAGTGCTAAACAATCTCAAAATCAGTTCTGGCTCTGACTACACCCATACGCGCACAAGGCTTGGACCTACTACCATCTAAAAGTGGGCTACGTTTGGGATAGCATTACAACCCAGTGCAAAGCCCAGCTCCCCTCAGAGGCTGGAACTGGAGGGGGTGTGTGGGGGGGTATGGTATGAAATGGTATGAAAAAACAGCATTTGTAATCAGGTTTATCTCTTAAAATAATCAACTCAGCTTAAGAAAAACGATTTGGGCCCTTGGCAGGCTACAAAAGTCCTTATAACGACCCTTTTAACTTATGACTGGTCTTTTCCATGGACATTCAAGATTTTAAAAGGTAAAAAGTAGGTTGTGCTGAGAATATTAAACTTCACCTTTAATATTGTGTGTTTTGGCAGCAGAAATGTGAAATTCTAGAATTTCAAAAACTCAGTATCCAAGATGAGATAGAGCAGTGTTCCTGTCATTAAAGGGTGCAGGCAAGCTAGGTCTTTCCCGTTCTGAGGGCTACTTTCTTTCTTTCTTCTGTGTTGTCCTCATCATGCAGAAGAGCAAGTATTTTCAAAAGACTGTTGCTACCACCTGTTCAACAATGTTTCCTTAGGAAAATTTTCTTTCTTGAGCTGTATTTCCTTCAGCCCCCAGCCAAATCAAAACAAACTTGAAAATATTCTAGTGACTACGTGAGAAGAAGCCTCGCTCCACCTCTGCTTTACCCTTGGTACCCTTATTTCCCTATTTCTTGGATGCAGCTTCCTGAAAAGCAATCTACACTTAGCTGCCTTAATCTTCTTAATGCCTATTCATTCCCCAACCCATAAGAATTTGCTTCTGCTCCCACTGTCTAAGTCAGTGACTGTTCTCACTGTGATCACCGAAGACCACCTTACTGCGAAGCCCAAACATCTGAAACTGTTGACCACCCCTTACTTATTGGAACTTTCTTCTCCCTTGGTTCCAGGACACTGCTCTCTTCTGATTCTCCTCCTCCTTTCATTCCTTCTCTTCTGCCCAGCTATTCACTGGTAGGTTTGCTCAGGGTGGCATCCTCAGGGCTCCTTCCTTCTCAATTCTACTTCTCTTCTTGGGTGATCTCATGTATTCTCATGGCTGCAATTAATATTATGATGATGACATTCAAATCTGTATCTTTAGTCAAGTGTCTCCTGGACACCAAATCCATAACTCCAATCGCCTTCTAGACAACTTCACTAGGATATCCCACGAGTACTCAACCTCAACAGAACATAACTTGTTATCTTTCTCCCAAACCTGTTTGGCTTCCCATTACTCTTCACCTTGGAAAATGGTAACCCATTCCACCAGTCTCCAAAGCTAGAAACATTCTCTTCATCACCTCCCAAATCCTACACATTACCAGATCTCTTCTCTATTTCACTTTAATCCAGTCTTCCATATTCCCTTTTGAGATATAATTCATATATAATGAAAAGGACAGATCTTAAGTGTACAATTTGATGAGGGATGACAATTGGATACATCCATGTAATCCACATCATATCAACCCACAAAAAACATTTCCATTAACCCAGAAAGATCCCCCATGCCCCTTCCCGGTAAATACCCTGCTTTCCCTCATCACACCCCCAGATAATCACTATTCTTATTTCTTTCACCATGGATTCATTTTGTCCATTCTAGAATGTCATAAATGGGAGCATACAGTATATACTCTCTTGAGTCTGGCTTCTTTCATTTAGCATTTCTGAGATTCATCCACCTATCACTGTTTCTTGTCTTAAAACAAGTTTATTGAGATAATAAAATTACTGTATAATTTACATACAACAAAATTCACCCTTTTAAATTGTAGTTTGATGAGTTTAAACAAATGTATATAGTTGTTTAACAACCACCACAATTAAAGAACAATTCTATCATAGACACTCCCCATACCCCTTAGAGTCAATTCTCACTCCCCATCCCACCAGCAATCATTGATCTGATCTCTGCCTTTCCAGAAAGTCAAATAAATGAAATCATACAGTATTAGCCTTTAAGAGTGGCTTCTTTCACTTAGCATTGTGCTTTTGAGATTTATCTGTGTAACTGTGTTTCAATAGTGTAGTTCATTCCTTTTATTCCATGTTATGGATATATCACAACTTGTTCATCCATTCAACAGTTCATGGACATTTGGGCTGCTTCCAGTGTTTGATGATTATGAATAAAGCTGCTATAAACCTTCATGTACAGGTATTTCTGTGAACATATATTACTTTTCTTGGGTAAATAGCTACAAGTGGGATTGCTGGATCATGTGCTAAGTTTATATTATTGCTGCATACTTCTTACCTCCCATTCATTTCCCTAGGACTAGTCTCTCCCCACTGCAGTCCATTTTCCATATGGCCATCAGAATTTCTAAGACATAAATCTAACAGTCAGATAGAGACAGGCTGTGAACTGGCCCAGTAAGAGACACTTGATATCAGGTTGGCTCCTACAGGATTTTAAATTAGTCACTTGTAGTCACGTTGTACAGTATTTCCTTTGTTGTAATTCTGTCCTACCAAGCTTTGGGTCAAATCATGATAAAAATGAAAGAAAATAATAATAATCTTATTGCTCTCTGGCTCAAAAAACTCCAGTGGCTTGTCTGTTGTCTACAGGATGAATTTAAATGTGTTAGTCCTCTATAATCAGGCCCCGATCTACTTCCATAGCCTCATCTCCTGCCAACTCCTCCCACGCAGGCTCTAGCTAGTCACAATGAGCTTCCCACTTCAAACAATGTCACACTGTGTCTGGACACTGCACTGGGCACATCATATTCCCTCTGTTAGAAATGGCTTTCCCCGGCTTCCCCTAGGCATAGCTGGTAGCTCTGGTGTATTCCAAGAGTACCCAAGTCACTCTACTACCCGTACTGTCATTTATCACTTCATGTCTGCTCCTGCCCATCACTGGAGGGGAGGGCCATGTCTCATTCATCGTTATCCTGCAAGCAGCCTGCACCATAAAAAGCACATAGGAAGCAATCAAGAAACACTAAAAGAAAGAAAAAGAAAAGAGAAGGAAAAAAGAAAAAAAATTAAATGAAAAATACTGTACAACTTCTAAAAAAGACAAAGTAATATGTAGCTACTCCCCCCAAAATAGCCCTAGGACAAGACTTGAAATATTCATAATAAAGGTAGTAACCATAAAGACAATAAGAGACATTATTATTAAGATGTTCACATATTAAGACATATTTAAAAAAAAACTTGATAAAGGGTGGTCTAGGAAGGGAGGGAAAAAAGATTTGACAGGGAAAATAATAACACGCCTAACAGATTACTAAACATGTCACACCACTAATTGTGGAATCAATCCACTAACCCTCCCCAGAAACAAAGCCCCAGCTGCAGCTGTAATCCTGAGGCAGTGGAAAGTGCTGACATTAGCCAGTCCGCACTGCCAGTCAAATACTATTGTATAAAGGAAATTCTTTTTACCTTGGCTTTGGATTTGAGTTGAAAACCTAAGGAGGAAGTCTTTATCTGGGGTCCAGAAGGAGAAGTTGGAAAAAAGCAGATCAAGATCCCACAGGAAAATGAGCTAAATAAAAGAAAAAGCCCAGAGCCAATTTGTTAACTAGTCCAATAAATCAATATGGTATCTGGCTACCATATGTAAAGGTAGATTTGAAAGGAGTATCTAGGACTCGGTACTGTTGATTAGAGCCGAAAGAGTGCCTTTTTCAGGCCTGATCTGCTAGAGAGAATGATATCATTTTTCCTGAGATCTAGTTACAGGAGAGCAGGAGGAGAATCCAGGATATGGAACATGCCAAAAGTGGTCAGACTCATCAGAGCTTGTGTTAATGTGAGTGGAGAAAGAGCCAGAGAGACCTGGCTCCCAAACTTGGCTCTGCCATTTGTTAACTGCGTGACCTAGGACAGATTATTTAACCTTTCTGAATCCTTTCTCCTTGTTATAAAACATGGGTAATAAATACCAACAAAATCCTTAAGAGGACTAAAGGGAATAACCAATGAAAAGTGCTTGACAAACAGTAGGTACTTCCTTCTTCCCAAGCCCCTTCTACAGTAAACTTCCCTTCCCACCTGAATAGGAGCACAGGATAAAGCAGAAAGGAGACTCTCTCGAAAAGTGAATTGTTTAAAAAAGAAGAAAGAAAGAAAAATGAACTGTTTGCTGACTTTTGTTGGTGATGGTCAAGTAGTTTACATAATTGGGGAATATATGCTGCCCGCTTTCATTCCTTCAACAAATATTTATGGACACCCACCCTTTGAGAATGTCAGTTTACCCTATGAAATGGTCTAGAACATGAGCAATGGAAGGCCAAACTAGCATTCATTCGACAGAGAGAGGTGTACTGAGCATGGACTGTCCCTGGCCTCTGACCTAAACAAGGCCAGCCCCGTCACCTCTACAAGTGGCAGGACAGCTGGTTCAGAGGAGTCCCGAGCCGGGGAGGACCAGGATCACAGGCTGTTACTTCAGCCATCCTCGCACACACAGATAAAACTGCTGTCAGCAGCAGCATCTGGAAAGGACAGCTAACATCCTGTTGCTCTTGGCTATTTTTCTCCAACTGGTCAAAAAAGCCATTCTCTTTGCCAGTTATGTCACAGTGCCAACTTCCTAAGCATACTTAAAGGGTTGCTGTTTACACATATATTTCACATGGTACCATATTTTTACAATATTGAAGGCAGTAAAAATTAGAGTGACAGAAATCTATTTTATTGGGAGAGGCATCAAAAACTCTATAAATCAAGAGTGCAATGATCAAGATGACCTGACAGCCAACCATCTTGTGGACCCCTGCCCTCCAGGCCAGGTCTCCTTCATGTGGGCTCTTCCACTCACAAGCTCTGGAACCTCAGGAAGGGTCTTAGTTTCTCAGGCCTCAACTTCTTTATATGGACTAATTATTCTCTGGGGTCCCTTCCAGATGTACAAATCTATGAGAAGGCATTACACGGCACAGCTAAGTTTCAGGTTGTTTGTGAAGGTTCCTAAGTCTACAGCTAAATGCCAATAATACAATGCAGGTGTATGTATATACCATCCATGTAAAATCCAGTTTGAGAGGAACAACACTTACAATCTATGCCTTTCAGCAGGGACTGAAAATAAGTTAAATGCATAGATAAGCAAATGAACAGAATACTGGAAGTCCCAAAAAGCATAGTCAAGCATTACGGGTGGTAGAGTGGGAAAGAAGTCAGAAGGACAGAAACGCTTAGAAATGGAATGCTCCTAGCCAAGATCCATAATGTGTATGGGTGAAACCACAACCAAAAAAATATAGTGAATCCCATCACTGGACTACTGGCTTCCACTTAAAAGCACCAATGCTCTGTGCAAGCCAAATTATTCTGGGATGCTCTCAATTCCTGTTTATTCTAAAAAGAAAGAAAAGAAAGGAAGGAAGGAAGGAAGGAAGGAAGGAAGGAA